GTTTTTGGAATCCCTCTCAAAGTTAACATATACTGCAAAAAAAAATGCAGAGTGAATATATAATCACTCATATAGACTAGGACAAATATTCACTAATATTTTAAAATTGCTTGATTGGTGTGAGTTTTTTCATAAAAAGTATGGCATTATTTTATGTGATTGGACATGACAAAAAATATATTACTGATTCCCAATGCGGTGTCATATGGACAACTTATTGAATACCTCTGACGTAATATGGACAACTTATTAAATACCTCTGACGTGTTCAAAGCTCTAGGCGCAATTGGAATGATAGCTTTAAAGCAGTGTGCAATTATTATATATATGTACATTATTACAACAAAACAGATAGTTTTACATCCTTATATATGAAAGCAAACCAATTCTTATATTAGTACAAGTTATATAACGAATATTAAGGAAATATACTTGTTAAGAACAAACATATATACTTAGGGTTAAGAGGAAAATGAGTTATGTGAAATAACTTGGATTTTTTCATTGCGAAACGGATGATTTATAGGTTCCCCTAGTTTCATAACGTCACAAGGAGGCCGGAGTAATTTTCGTGGAATTTTTAGGATTTTCCTACTATTTATTACCTTTTTTCAAAGATTTTTGCTCTAAAAAAGCCAAAATAATTGCAAGAGGACACCTGGCGCGATCTTAGCCCATCACCTTTCACCACTTGCACAAGTGTACGTTAGTCAACATAGCCACATCCTTGCCTTCTATCATAAATTATTATTTTATTACTTTTTCTTAGAAAATTCATAACTAAATACACAAAAATTAGAAAAATGATCCGAAAATTGCTACGAACTCATTGAGACTCCATCTCCCTTGCTATATTCCCCGATTCATGGTTACGCATTTTACAAAATAATTCCAAACATTAACGGGAGATGCTTGTTGAAGTAGATTTTTGAAGTTAAAGTTAACACACATATCTTCTTAGGGTTAAGGGGAAAGTGAGTTATGTAAAACAATTTGAATTTTTTCATTGCGAAACGGATGATTTATAGCTTCCCCTAGGTTTATAACGTGACAAGGAGGCCGGAGTAATTTTCGGGGCATTTTTAGGATTTTCCTACTATTTATTACATTTTTTCAAAGATTTTTGCACTAAAAAAGCCAAAATAATTGCAAGAGGACACTTGGCGCGATCTCAGCCCATCAACTTTCACCACTTGCACAAGTGTACGTCAGTCAACATGGCCACATCATTGCCTTTTACCCTAAATTATTATTTTATTACTTTTTCTTAGAAAATTCATAACTAAATACACAAAAATTAGAAAAATGATCCGAAAATTGCTACGAACTCATTGAGACTCCATCTCCCTGGCTAAATTCCCCGATTCATGGTTACGCATTTTACAAAATAATTCCGAACATTAACGGGAGATGCTTGTTGAAGTAGATTTTTGAAGTTAAAGTTAACACACATATCTACTTAGGGTTAAGGGGAAAGTGAGTTATGTAAAACAATTTGAATTTTTTCATTGCGAAACGGATGATTTATAGCTTCCCCTAGGTTTATAACGTCACAAGGAGGCCGGAGTAATTTTCGGGGCATTTTTAGGATTTTCCTACTATTTATTACATTTTTTCAAAGATTTTTGCACTAAAAAAGCCAAAATAATTGCAAGAGGACACTTGGCGCGATCTCAGCCCATCAACTTTCACCACTTGCACAAGTGTACGTCAGTCAACATGGCCACATCATTGCCTTTTACCCTAAATTATTATTTTATTACTTTTTCTTAGAAAATTCATAACTAAATACACAAAAATTAGAAAAATGATCCGAAAATTGCTACGAACTCATTGAGACTCCATCTCCCTGGCTAAATTCCCCGATTCATGGTTACGCATTTTACAAAATAATTCCGAACATTAACGGGAGATGCTTGTTGAAGTAGATTTTTGAAGTTAAAGTTAACAAACATATCTACTTAGGGTTAAGGGGAAAGTGAGCTATGTAAAACAATTTGAATTTTTTCATTGTGAAACGGATGATTTATAGCTTCCCCTAGGTTTATAACGTGATATGGAGGCTGGAGTAATTTTCGGGGCATTTTTAGGGTTTTCCTACTATTTATTACCTTTTTTCAAAGATTTTTGCACTAAAAAAGCCAAAATAATTGCAAGAGGACACTTGGCGCGATCTCAGCCCATCAACTTTCACCACTTGCACAAGTGTACGTCAGTCAACATGGCCACATCATTGCCTTTTACCCTAAATTATTATTTTATTACTTTTTCTTAGAAAATTCATAACTAAATACACAAAAATTAGAAAAATGATCCGAAAATTGCTACGAACTCATTGAGACTCCATCTCCCTTGCTAAATTCCCCGATTCATGGTTACGCATTTTACAAAATAATTCCGAACATTAACGGGAGATGCTTGTTGAAGTAGATTTTTGAAGTTAAAGTTAACAAACATATCTACTTAGGGTTAAGGGGAAAGTGAGCTATGTAAAACAATTTGAATTTTTTCATTGTGAAACGGATGATTTATAGCTTCCCCTAGGTTTATAACGTGATATGGAGGCTGGAGTAATTTTCGGGGCATTTTTAGGGTTTTCCTACTATTTATTACCTTTTTTCAAAGATTTTTGCACTAAAAAAGCCAAAATAATTGCAAGAGGACACTTGGCGCGATCTCAGCCCATCAACTTTCACCACTTGCACAAGTGTACGTCAGTCAACATGGCCACATCATTGCCTTTTACCCTAAATTATTATTTTATTACTTTTTCTTAGAAAATTCATAACTAAATACACAAAAATTAGAAAAATGATCCGAAAATTGCTACGAACTCATTGAGACTCCATCTCCCTTGCTAAATTCCCTGATTCATGGTTACGCATTTTACAAAACAATTCCAAACATTAACGGGAGATGCTTGTTGAAGTAGGTTTTTGAAGTTAAAGTTAACAAACATATCTACTTAGGGTTAAGGGAAAAGTGAGTTATGTAAAACAATTTGAATTTTTTTCATTGCGAAACGGATGATTTATAGCTTCCTCTAGGTTTATAACGTCACAAGGAGGTTGGAGTAATTTTCGGGGCATTTTTAGGATTTTCCTACTATTTAATACCTTTTTTCAAAGATTTTTGCACTAAAAAAGCCAAAATAATTGCAAGAGGACACCTGGCGCGATCTCAGCCCATCAACTTTCACCACTTGCACAAGTGTATGTTAATCAACATGGCCACATCATTGCCTTTTACCCTAAATTATTATTTTATTACTTTTTCTTAGAAAATTCATAACTAAATATACAAAAATTAGAAAAATGATCCGAAAATTGCTACGAACTCATTGAGACTCCATCTCCCTTGCTAAATTCCCCGATTTATGGTTACGCATTTGACAAAATAATTCCGAACATGAACGGGAGATGCTTGTTGAAGTAGGTTATTGAAGTTAAAGTTAACAAACATATATACTTTGGGTTAAGGGGAAAGTGAGTTATGTGAAATAATTTGAATTTTTTCATTATGAAACGGATGATTTATAGGTTCCCCTAGTTTTATAACGTTACAAGGAGGCCGGAGTAATTTTCGGGGCATTTTTAGGATTTTCTTACTATTTATTACCTTTTTTCAAAGATTTTTGCTCTAAAAAAGCCAAAATAATTGCAAGAGGACACCTGGCGCGATCTCAGCCCATCACCTTTCACCACTTGCACAAGTGTATGTTAGTCAATATGGTCACATCCTTGCCTTTTACCCTAAATTATTATAAGTGGGAAAAGGTCATTCCTAAGGACCAGTGAAAAGACACCTACTCACTCCATACATGCCTTTTCGCTTACCAAATATTAAGATTGCAGTTGTGCAAAGTATCTTTGTCAGTAAAATTTCATTCTCGTCAGTCAATGATGTCAGTAATCAGTCCACTATAATATATATATATCATACATTTATATATAAAACGATTTATGAGAACACAAACACAAGACAAAATTGATTACAACCCAACATGTAAACAACATTTGTACAACGTAGCCTGCCAACCTAGAACTGAAGAGAAGCAAGTCTACAATGCATAAAAACCGTAAAAATATATTACAACTAATTATAAGACAAACTTTATATATAAACCGTAAAAATCGTAAAAAGCATATTACAACCAAGCTAACTCCAAGATGAAGGCTTGGGGCATATCCAAATGAAGATGCTTCCTTCTCTTTCCTCCGAGGGTAGTGAAATGTTTCGAATTCATTGAAATATTTTTGGAATGGAATGATTTGAGGAGTGGAAGGGAGGAGAAATGAGAATATATGGAATTTTGGTTTTGTTTTAGCCTCTATTTGTAGTGTTTTGAAAAGGTGTTTTCACTTGGGGTTTTTCCAAGTTGACCCTTTTTAAAGATACTGAACCCAACACCCTAAAATTCAAGAGAAGAGAAGGGAAAACGTCATCCAAAAATGCAAAGAGAGTCAGATAGTCAAAAAGTCAACCACATAACCTATTTGCATAGCCATTTTTAGGATTTTCCCGCCATCACATTCATTGATTAAAATGTGATGGATTACTGACTAGTCAGAGAAGGTCCCATCAGATACTTTTTCATTTTCCCACACCAAACTAACCCTAGTAATGTTATTAAAATGGAAGCAATGATGATGGATTCTTATCCAACTAGTTGCCTTAATGAAATATAATTAAAATAATATATTTAAAGCAGTGTTCCCCTCAATTTTCATATTAATATTTGGTAGTGAAATATAATATTGATTTTTGGGGTAAAAGGTGCCACAATTCTGACGGTACAGGTGTCCACATAGTGACCAACCCACCCACAAAAAAGAAGAAGATATAATTCGATTTGGGCAAAGATGAGAGAGAGCTTAGTGAGAAGTTTAGGGTTATGAGTGAAGGGGTATGACTGAGAACTATGAGTGAGAAGGTATGAGTCCAAAGAGGTTTCAGTGAGAAGATATGAGTGAGAAGAGGTACAAGTGAGAAGATTCAACATGTCTTCGTCTTCATCTCCAGCTCAAACAAGGAGGTGTCGGTACTGTGGAGCTGCAATGGTGCTTCGGGTTTCAAAATCAGATAAAAATCGAGGGAAGCCATTTTGGAAATATCTAATCTCCTATGTAAGTTTTCATTTCCAGAATATGTATGTGGGTGAAAAAAACCTAGGTCTAACTCTGACAGAATTATTTTGCATATACTATGCCTGCAATTAGGGAGCCACCAGTTGCAATGAATTCGAATGGGTTGATGTAACCTCTGCTGAAGCAGAACAACAAGATGACACGTATGATGCTACGGTGCTGAAGTGCATTAAGGACTTGGTATTAGTTTTATTTCTTGTATCAATTTTCATATTATTTGTTCTTTTAATGACCAATTAAGTGCACAGTTTCAAGGATTGTAAAAGTTCTCCCCAAAAAGACATGTTGCATGCACCACCAATGAGTTTTCAAACCCATTTTGTAATTTTTGTTCTTGAAATAGGTGGATCAGCATTGAGTTTAAATTATTGTTTGAAACAAAAGCATTTATTTGTCTGAAACCCAGCAAAAACTTTCCAAGACTGACTTTAAAAAAATAAAGTCATACAAAGATGATAAAATTACAATTCAAGGCCAATACGATGCAATAATATTTTTTTACAATTGCATAATTATTCGGTGTATATAGATTGTTATTTGCATATACTGAAGGTTTATTGATTGTTTGACTGCATGTATATCTCATGTTATTGCTCGATATTGAATATTTATTGAAGTTTATTGATGTTTACATGTTATTGAAGGTTTATTGATTGATAAAAGACATGTATTTCGCATGTTATTGCTCCGATATTGAATATTTATTGAAGTTTATTGATTGTTTACATGTTTATTGAAGGTTTATTGATTGATAAAAGACATGTATTTCGCATGTTATTGGTTCGATATGGAATGTTTATTGATGTTTACATGTTTATTGAAGGTTTATTGATTGATAAAGACATGTATTTCGCATGTTATTGGTTTGATATGGAAGTTTATTGATTGTTTACTGCATGTATTTCGCATGTATTGAAGGTTTATTGATTGACAAAAAGACATGTATTTCGTATGTTATTAGTTCGATATGGAATGTTTATTGAAGGTTTATTGATGTTTACTGATTATTGTTCGATGTGGAATGTTTATTGAAGGTTTATTGATTGTTTACTGCATGTATTCGCCTCGATATTGAATGTTTATTGAAAGTTTATTGATTGACAAAAGACATGTATTTCGCCTCCGATATTAAATGTTTATTGAAGGTTTATTGATTGACGAAAGACATGTATTTCGTATGTTATTAGTTCGATATGGAATGTTTATTGAAGGTTTATTGATTGATTAGTTTCGATGTGGAATGTTTATTGAAGGTTTATTGATTGTTTACTGCATGTATTTCGCCTGTATTGAATGTTGACAGAATATTGAATGTTTATTGAAGTTTATTGATTGACAAAAGACATGTATTTCGTATGTTTATTAGTTCGATATGGAATGTTTATTGAAGGTTTATTGATTGTTTACTGCATGTATATCGTATGTTATTGCTCCGATATTAATGTTTATTGAGGGCAAAAGTACCACTCAAGTAAGATTTAAGGAGTTAGATTTAAGGGGGGAAAAAGTCTTTATTCTTTCTTTTAGTATGAAGAACAACTGTTAAGTAGAATTTCCTATTCAATACGACTTCCTTATGTATGGTGTAATTAGGGACTAATGTATATTGCATGTCTATTACGTGTCTATTGCATGTATATTGCGTATATATTGTGTATATGTTGTGTGTATATTGCTTGTATGTTGCCTGTGTATTGCTAATTTCCTTCGTAAGCAATAAACAATCAATACACATGCAATAAACGTACGATATGTATGCAATAGACAAGCAATATAGACGCAACAGACATGCAATATAGTCACACCAATATACATTACTTTTGTGCTTTTGGGGAAAAAAAAAAAAAAAAAAAAAAAAAAAAAAAAAAAAAAAAAAAAAAAAAAAAAAAAAAAAAAAAAAAAAAAAAAAAAAAAAAAAAAAAAAAAAAAAAAAAAAAAAAAAAAAAAAAAAAAAAAAAAAAAAAAAAAAAAAAAAAAAAAAAAAAAAAAAAAAAAAAAAAAAAAAAAAAAAAAAAAAAAAAAAAAAAAAAAAAAAAAAAAAAAAAAAAAAAAAAAAAAAAAAAAAAAAAAAAAAAAAAAAAAAAAAAAAAAAAAAAAAAAAAAAAAAAAAAAAAAAAAAAAAAAAAAAAAAAAAAAAAAAAAAAAAAAAAAAAAAAAAAAAAAAAAAAAAAAAAAAAAAAAAAAAAAAAAAAAAAAAAAAAAAAAAAAAAAAAAAAAAAAAAGTTTGGAGCGTCTTCATTTGCAAGGTAATAAACTTGAAGGATCAATTCCTCAAACACTAAAAAGTTTAAGAGGCTTGGAAGAAATAGACATTTCGCGTAATAACTTATCAGGGAAAATTCCAGAGTTTCTAGAAATCTTGGATCTCTTAAGCATCTCAATCTTTCTCATAACAATTTTGAGGGTGAATTGCCTAGAGAAGGGATCTTTTCAAATGCAAGTGGTGTCTCAATCCTTGGAAATAATAGGCTATGTGGTGGAATTCCAGAATTCCTTCTTCCTGCATGCTCTAGCAAAAGCGCCATTCACCACGAGGATTACTTGCCCCGAAAGTATTCATCCCTATAACTTGTGCACTAGCATTTTTAATTGCTCTGTCATGCTCCTTTGCTGCTTGTTCATATGTGAAAAAGTCAAAAGATAGACTAGTCACTTCGCATTCTTATACGGATTGGAAATCAGGTGTTTTATACTCTCAACTCTTTCAAGCAACTGATGGGTTCTCTGTGGACAATCTGATTGGCTCGGGAAGTTTCGGTTCTGTTTACAAAGGAGTACTCCCTAATGATGGAATGGTAGTCGCTGTTAAGGTATTAAACCTTCAACAAGAAGGAGCTTCCAAGAGTTTCATTGGTGAATGCAAAGTGTTAAGAAGTATAAGGCATCGTAATCTTCTCAAGATTGTAACCGTCTGCTCCAGTATTGATAATCAGGGCAATGACTTCAAAAGTCTAGTTTTGGAGTTCATGGAAAATGGAAGTCTAGACCAGTGGCTTCATCCAAGAGATGACGAAACAATCTCAGCCTAAGAGATTAAGCCTTATCCAAAGACTCAATATCGCAATTGATGTTGCTTCTGCACTAGATTATCTGCACCACCACTGTGAAACGGCCATTGTTCATTGTGATCTAAAGCCAAGCAATGTTCTTCTTGACGAAGATATGGTAGCCCATGTTGGTGACTTTGGTTTAGCAAGGTTCCTCTTACAAGCATCAAATGATCCCACCAAAATTCAAACCATGTCTGTTGGGCTAAAGGGTTCCATAGGCTACATTCCTCCAGGTATAAATTTAAAATCCTCACTTCCTATTAACTTTTTGATAAAAAAGATTGCTGACTCTTTTTTTACTGGACAAGAAGTATCAGAAAATTTTGAAATATATAAGATAAATTCTAAAGGTCCATCAACTACAACATCCTAATGTATGCATTGACATGCAGAGTATGGCATGGGAAGCCAAGTTTCCATAATGGGAGATATTTACAGCTATGGGATACTGTTGCTAGAAATGTTCACAGGAAAAAGACCAACCGATGACATGTTCAAAGATGGTTTAAGCATTCACCAATTCACAGCCATGGCTTTGCCTGACCATGCCATGGACATAGTTGAGCCTTCATTGCTGCTTGAAACAGATGACGAGGAGGATGATGATGAACACGACCACAAATATGAAATTGACATACAAAAAAGACCCTTGGCGAGATATAAGGATCCCGGCCCAGACAAAGTAAAAAGATTGGAGGAATGCGTGGCTTCAGTGATGCAAATAGGGATCTCATGCTCTGCCGTATCATCGACAGAGCGGATGCTTATGGATGTTGTCGTCAACAAAATGAATGCAGTCCGGGGCTCATATCTCAATTTAACAAGAAGAAGAAGATGATGATGATGATTGCAATGTAAAAGAAATTAGTTTTATGTAATATTTTGCCGAGGCTATTATTAGCACATGCTCTGCTTTTGCAAATACATTGATATATATGATAACGCAAAAACAATTTCATTTTTGCCAAAATCTGGAGGTACAGTGACACTCGGACACTACAGCAAGGAAACAAATAGAGAAGGGGGCAGAACACTGACCAGGCAATGAGCTCGTCATAATCGTGGACTTGCCCACTCACTCAACCCAGGCGGACCAATGAGGGGGCCAATGTGGGTTAGGCCAGGGCAGCGAACCATCTCTCCTTGCACCCAAGTTCAAGTCCCTCTCCACGTAAATTAGTATCATTTAGACTATCGTTTATATATATATATATATATGATATATATATTTTTAAAGTAAGTGAGAGAAGACACATAGGTGAAATCGGCAATTTCATTTCTCTTTTAATAGCTTTTATTATTTTATTACTTAAGGGTGGTTAAGATAAGGTTCGGTTTCATTTCGATTGTTAGTAAAATTGTGCTACAAAACCGAACTAATTCTAATCTAAAGAGGTCCGATTTAGGCCCAGTTTGGGATTGTTGTTACTTTTAAAAAAAGTTGCTTCTACTGTGTTTTGAAAATAATTAGCTATAAAGTAAAGCAGCTCCATGTTTGGTAAACAATAATTTTAAAGTGCTGTTAGTATAAAAAGCAGTGTCAAAACCGTTTGGTAAATTTTAATATAAAATTGTTGTAACTGTGAATAATGACTAAAATAGACATGATGTTAAAGTGTTATGTACTAATCATGTGGTGGTAGTAGTAGTGATGGAGTGGAGGTAGTGGTGGTGATGAAGGTGAAGTTGGTGGCTATGGTAGTAGTGGTGGTGGTGGTGGTGGGGATGGCCATTGTGGAGGTGGTGGTGGTGGTGGTAGTGGTAGCATGGTGATGATTGTGGTGTTGGTTGTGGAGGTGGTAGTGGATGTGGAGGTTTTGGAGGAGGAGGTGGTGGTGGTGGTGGTGGAGGAGAAGGAGGAGGTGGTGAAGGTGGTGGAGGAGGTGGTGGTTGTGGTGGTAGTGGCGGAGGATGAGGAGGAGAAGGATGTGGTGGTGGTGGTGGCAGTGGTTGTGGAGGTAGTGAATGTGGTGGTGCAAGTGGTGGAGTTGGATGTGGAAGTGGAGGTGGTGTCATTTTTTAAAATGAATTATGGTATTTTGGGAATTAAAAAAATTCATTAAAAGTTCATTTTTGCTTCTTTTAAAAGCAGCTTTGAAAAGTAACCCAGAGCTTGCTTTTAAAAGTTGCTGTCAAAATGCCACTGCTTTTAAAATAATCGGGATATTTATTTTTAGAAGCAGGTTTTTGGCTATAAAAAACAATCCCAAATGGAGCCTTAGTTCTAATTCTCAGTTAGGACCAAATCCTTTTTTTTTCTTGAGTTTTTTTATAGCAAGCAAGGCAAATTTGAGTCAAGAATTCTTATTTTACCTATCAAATATTTTATCTTCACATTCAAGTCAATCTAAACACATAATCATAATCCAACATACAATCACAACATAAATCACAATTGCAACAAACAACTAAACATACATTCAATGACAACATACAATCTTAAAATTACACCCCAATGTAAAAATTTATGATTAAATTACAACCTAAATTTAAGCACATAAATTTAGAAATTAATATTTGACTCATTGATTCATAAAATCACATTTCTTGAATTGTTGGCTCATATGCACACCTAGGGCCTATTTGGTTCGCAAATTGCTTTTGAGGAGTTGCAGCCAATGGTGAGAGACAACACTGATTCAGATAGAGTGCTGGTGAGGTAACTAACAATGAGTTGGTCTTGTTGAAACCATGTTTCATAAGCAAGATTAGGTTGAGGAAGATTAGGTGCTTTTGGTTAGGAGAAGGTGTGAGTAGGGGCAGAAAGAGAGAAGGTTGAGAAGGAGCCATCAACATATTTCCACAATCCTCAGCCAATGAGAAAAGGTTTTATTTGTCGAAGCTAGAGAAGGTACTTGGTGTCGCTGAGCTTGATGAAATGGGAGGAGTGGGGACCAGGAAGAGAGGAGGAGGAAGATTGAGAGACCATGAGGGTTCAACTTTGTGTAAATATTACAATATTATAATTGCACAATAAAGATATAAATAGTAAAAGCCTTGCATGGAAGTAATTACAAAATATTTGGAGAGCAAGTCAACTATTGTGATTAAGAAGAATCCGTTTCAGATTCTTCTCCCTTGATAAGTGCGTGTGGTTTAACAGTAAAGCCCCATTCACTCAAAGACCATTTTCCTTTAAAGCAGTCATCCTTGCATTTGCATTCATAATTGCTCTGTCATGTTCCATTGCTATATATTCAAAGGTGAAAATGTCACGAATGGACCAATAACTTCACGTTCTTATAAGGATTGGAAATCAGGTATCTCTTACTCTGAACTCCTTGAATTGACTAATGGATTCTCTGTGGACAACCTGATTAGTTCAGGAAGTTTTGGTTTTGTTTACAAAGGAGTAATGCCTAGTGATGGAACTGTTTGTGCAAATAATCTCGCGGGAGTATATTCGCTTTGTGATTCTTTAACCTTTGATCTTCCGTCTCTCTCTTCCTCAATTCCTGTAAAAAAGACTGGAGTAAATAGATCACACCCGAGGGGTGTTGGCCATAGACCCTCCGATGCCTAAGTTAGTTGGATTGAATTCTAGGTGAAACAATAGCTAAAAAAGGGTACATAGATTTCTCTAGGATGAGAACCGAGTGGCTGGAGCCATGTGTGGCGGCTAGAGCTATGTATGTAAATATGGAGAAAAGAGAATGGTGTGGCCAGCGGTAGTGGCGTCGCCGGTGGCTAGGGAGAGAGAGAGATTGAGAATTTCAAGTATTTTCTCGAGTTGTAGAATTAGGTTTTGAAGTACCTTAAATGATGAATGAAGCCATCTATTTATAGGAGCCTCGGAGGCTATGGTTTCATAGAAATAAAACTCTTATTAGGAAGGAGTTTATTCTTTCCCCAAATTGTAGATATTTAGTCCATTAGGGATTTGATTGGGATTCAAATCTCTTAATTTGATGATGATTATATCTCCTTATTAGATAATATCTAAATTAATGATATTATCTTTTTAAATAAAGATATATCCTATAATAAAGATATTATCCCTATTAATTAATTGACCAAATAAATTGGTTCAATTAATTAATTTAAGGGATATTCTTCTTTTCACGTGGCATGCTATAATTGGAGACGAAAATATTTGCTCCCATTGGAACAATAGTTGTTGTTAAGGTATTAAACCTTCAACAACAAGGATCTTTCAAGAGTTCCATTGATGAATGCAAAGCTTTAAGAAGTATAAGGCATCATAATCTTCTAAAGATCCTAACTGACTGCTCAAACATCAATAATTTGGGTAATGAGTTCAGAAGTCTAGTTTTTGCGTACGTGGATAATGGAAGTCTAGACTCATGGTTGTATCCAAGAGGGTTTAGGGTTTAGGGTCTCCATGAATTTTGCTCCACATATGAGAGAACTTTATCTCATTGCTCGTGACAGGGCATGACTAATGTTCACCCAAACAAACAATAAAAAGATGATCCTCTAATGATCACAACTTTCTCTAAACCCTTTTTCAAAACTTTTTCCTCCATAAAAATTTCTATGACTACTATACTAAATCTAGACTTAAGCGTTCCATACTTTTAACAAGGTTAATGTGGACACGATAATTTTGAAGTTGTAACGAGGAGCAATGTCAAATTAAGAGATTGGGTGTTATCCAAAGACTGAACATTTCTATTGATGTTGCTTCTGCTTTAGATTATCTCCATTACCATTGTGAAACAGCCATCATTCATTGTGATCTAAAGCCAAGCAATGTTCTTCTTGATGAGGATATGGTAGCCCATGTTGGTGACTTTGGTTTAGCAAGGTTCCTTTTGGAAACATCAAATGATCCCTCGCAAAGTCAAACAATATGTCAATTGGGTTAAAGGGTTCCATAGCTATATTCCTCCTGGTACGAGTTTCTATGTTTCTCATTTATTTTCTTCCTAAAGACTTATTACTAAGCCAACGTAAGTCCCTATTGAAAAGATAATAATTCCTTCTGTTCTTTTCCTGGAAAAGAAGTATAAATATGAGAACATTTCCAAATAAGATCTAATCTCTAGTCATTTGATAGTGTGTTGTCGTCAGATCAGCTGCTCCAAAATGGATTCAGCTACATCCTCAACTTGTGATCTCGCAAGTGCACAAGCCGTTTGGTAGTATAGCATATGTAAGTGCGAGGTCGATCCCATGAGGATTGATGATAGATTGATTAATCGATTCCCTGTACAAAACAGAAATAGAAACAAGATTTAAGATGATTGTGAAAAGTACAAGGATTGAAAACAAGAACGAAAGAAAATAACTAACTCAAGCAAATAAGTTCCTAAGTTCAATTTAGATTAACGGATTGATTTTAGCTAAAGTATAATTAAGCCATGGTGTGTCTGTCCCTAACCTTGTATTCCTAATTCCCTAATTTGATCATCTGTTGTCTAACCTAAAATTAAGCATTAGGAATCCATTAAGCATAGAAGAACATTTTAAACAACCAAGTATGTATCTAATCCCGATTGTCGAATTCTATACACACTCTTTCTATTCATAGTTCAATTCGAATTAAAGCATGGTGTCTACTCTTAATTCAAACCAAGATAGCTAACATGCAAGCCTTAATGGTGATCAATCATTCAACCTAGCATATTAACTTATAAGCATAATGAATAAGAACAAGAACCATAATTGAAACTTGGTGACTAATCAAACTTGAATACTTAAGAAAGAATTTACATTACAATGAAAAATAAAGAAGAACTCAGAAAAACTTAAAGAAAAATTCAGCAAAAAGAATTTTGTTACAATAATTGAGAGAATGGAGGGGAGCTCTAGAGAAGTGTTTGAGAGCTCCCCTCCTTGGGGTGTGTTTACAAGCTTGGAGAACCTCACTATTTATAGGCCTAGGGGAAGTGAAATCTGAATTATACAATTGAGTTTATTAATCACACTCACTTCACCTAACACACAATTGCATTTGAAAATAATTCCTCGTCTTTAGGCTTAGTGTTGTAGCTCCCACTTCATCTTCTTTTATTTCCTTTGGCTACTGCAAAACTTCACTCCAATTATAAGTATTGAATCTGCTTAACCTAACTTTCCCACAATCAATACACCTCATATGCATATGTCATGCATGACAATGCATTGCAGTATTCTTTTGGGCTCGTTCCTCCATTCATACAATTCTGGAAAAATATAGAACTTGAAGCCTTTTGTCTTATCTTTCTATCCATATGCAGTCCAGCTCAAGGAAAAATCGGAAAGACCTTCAAATGCCATTTTTGGCCCAGTAACGCAGATGCCATTGATTTTGACCTTAAACTGCCAAAACTTGCATAACTTCCTTTAGAAGACTCGAAATCATAAACTGTAAATGTTCCGGAAACTAGACTTCCGCATCTTTCCAATGATATATGGATCATTATCTGGTTCTTCCTGAGAAAGTACAGTATAATCCGTGAAGTTGACTGATTTGTAGACACAATTGTTGAGCTAACTTGACTCCAAATGCATTAAATAAGTCCTAAAGCTTAATACACTAAAACAAAGATAAAAGAGATTAAAAGCACAAGTTTAACTCAAAAACATAACCAAATTAGAAGGGTATAAAATGATATGTAATTATGCACCGATCATAGTGACACTTTAATATATGTATATGTATATAATGGTAGAGTATGGCATGGGAGGCCAATTTCCATACTGGGAGATATTTATAGCTACGGAATATTGTTGCTAGAAATGTTCACTGGAAAAAGACCTACGGATGACAAGTTTAGATATGGTCTAAGTATTCACCAATTCACTAACGCAGCGTTGCCTGACCATGCCTTTGGTGTAGCGGATGTAAGAATTTGCATTCCAAATCAAATACTGAGATGGTCTTCTGATCACTTAAGGATATATATAGTTCTATGCCAATTAGGAGTACATAATTTGTCTATCTTTTAGACTTTGTATAAGTGACTGTTTTGATTAAATACAAAGTGCTTTAGGTTTCCTAATTTCATGTGGATTGAAACACCTAATTTTGTTGGCTTAAGGAAAGCTTAAGATGTCTTTGATGAGGAGGAGTCTTAAGCGAAGCCTATAAAGGATGTTCTTGTGCTATCGGCTAAATACACACTCAATATTATTCTCACTCCATCTAGAGAGAGATAAAGAGCCAGATAGCAGAGAAGACTTCTTTACAGCAGAATAACAAGACATTTCCTATGAACATCATGTCTGATCAAGGTATGTGTTTAGTTCATCTGAAGCTATTAAGACTTACATGTGGTATCAGAGCATTAGGTTGTATGTTCTTAACCTATTACAAGTAAAATAAATGAAGGCTCGCATGAAAAGGCTAAAAATCTGGTTTTAATACATATGTTACAGTATGATATAGTTTAAAGAAAACATCAGTCATTATAGAATGCATATTTTGATTATTATACATTGCATATCTTATTTGATAAGGTAAGAGATAAGCATAAAGTTTTCCTGCTTAAATCATGCTTGAAAGACTAATGATCAATGTTTGGGGAGGATTTTGGATCAATTGAGTGAGCCATAGCAACTCAACTGGTACAAGAGATTCTTCATTCAAAGTTTTTTTATCAAAATTGCATTGCACTCAACCTTTCTTATACAATTCTCTATCCACAGATGTGAATCATGCAAGAAGGGTTGTTTATAATGGAACAATATGGAAAACAGATTGTATGAACAAACAATGAATATTCCTCTATCCACAGAAGTGGGGATGCTCCTTGTTTCAAGATTGCTCATACAAATATGTTGTTCTGAGTACTATGGAACATGTTGACTTGTAACCCACATGTGCAAATCATAATGTTTAGTTAAAGATTTTGGGGATGTTTTATTTATGTTTTCTTTAAAATTACATTGAGTGCTTCAAGTTACAACTCCATCGAAATCTTGACTGGATCAAACTATCTGAAGTGGAAAGAAGAGTTGGAAATTTCACTAGGACTAATGGACTATGACATTGCTCTAAAATGGGATACGCTTGAGGAACCTGCTGCAAATGCGACTACAGATGTCAAAAGGAGATATGAAAAATGGGAAAAGGCTAACAAGATGGCTATACTGATTATGCTTAGAACCATGACACCATCCTTGAGAGGTAGCGTTCCAAGATCAGAAAATGCAAAAGAATTCCTTGCTGCCATTGGTCTGAAATTCAAAGAAACTGAGAAAGAAGAAAAGTACCTTGTTGGACAAATTAATTGAGATGAAGTATGATGAGCGAGGTTGTGTGAGAGCTCACATAATGAACATGGCAGACGTTGCACACAAACTGAAGGAACTGAACATGACTATAGATGAGGACATGATGGTGCATTTTGCCTTGAACTTACTTCCAAAGGAGTTCAAAACTCTCAAGAGTTCATATATGGCTCAGAAGGAAAGTTGGACTTTGGATGATCTTATAACCATTAGTGTTCAAGAAGAGCACAACATCATAATGGAGAGAGGTCAGGAAGCTATGAACATGGTTCAAGACTATCGTGGCAAGTAGAACAAGGATAAAAAGAAAGTTTTTGGAGAAAAGAAAGACCAAGATAGTACCCAAAAAAAAAAAGGAAAACCAATTGAACTGAAATGTTTCTTTTGTACAAAGTTTGGACACATGAAAAGGGAATGCAAGAAGTACAAGAGGTGGTTAGAGAAACAAAAGAACAAAGGTAAGAATGAAAATGTTTTGGTCTGTTTTGAATCAAATATGATTGAGGTTTCAGTTGACACTTGGTGGTTAGACAGTGGTGCTTCAATACACATTGCTAATTCTTTGCAGGGGTTCATAACGAAGAGGCAGCCAAACAAGGATGAGGTGAAGGTATTCGTGGGCAATGGAGTCAAAGTACAAGTGGAGTTCATTAGAGCAGTTAGGATTCGATTAGATTCTGGTTTTGTTTTAGATTTGGTAGATGTAGTCTATGTTCCTTTATGACAAGGAACCTTATCTTAGTTGCTAGGCTTGTTAAATAAAAACTCACTTTGAGATTTGATGAATTTGGTTTTTCGATTTTCAATAATAAAGAACTAGTTGGAAATAGAACTCTTGTTGGAAACATCTTTCAATTGAACTGCAGACCACCTCAAATGGTTATGAACATTGCAAATACAAAACAAAAGAATTAGACATCATCAAAACTTTGGCATAAAAGGCTTGGCCATATTTCAAAAGAAAGAATGAACTTCCTGTGTAAAGAATCAGTGCTGCCACCAATTGACTTTAATGACATGGATGAAATTTGTGTTGAATGCATAAAGGGAAAATTGACAAACTTGAGAAAGAAAGGAGCAATAAGAAATGAAAATCTATTGGAATTAATTCACACAGATATCCGTGGTCCTTTTCCAAATCCAACACATGAAGGTTATAAGTATTTCATCACTTTCACAGAAGATCACTCGAGATTTGGACATGTCTACTTAATAAAAGAAAAGTCTAAAGCATTAGATATGTTCAAGGTTTATAAAAAAAGAAGTAGAAAGGCAACTGGAATTGAAAATAAAGGTGGTACGATCATATAGAGGTGGAGAATAATATGGTAGATTTGATGAGACTAGTAAGATCCAGACCCCTTTGCAAGATATTTGCAAGAAGAAGGCATAATAGCTCAATATACAAATCCAGGTATACCTCAGCAAAATGGAGTTTCTGATAGAAGGAATAGGACCTTAAAAGGTATGGTTAGAAATATGATGTGTTGTACCAATCTTCCTATTTATCTGTGGGGAGAAGCCTTGAAGACTGCAAACTACATATTGAATAGAGTTCCAACAAAAAGTGTTGACAAAATTCCTTTTGAAATATGGAATAAAATGAAGCCTAGCTTAAACCACTTAAAGGTTTGGGGTTGCAAAGTAGAGGCAAGACTCTACAACCCTATAGAAAAGAAGCTAGATTCAAGAACTGTGAGTTGTTACTTTGTAGGTTATCCTGAGGGAACAAAAGGATATGGGTTCTATTGTCCAAAGAACACTACAAGAGTAATGAAGGAATGCCTTGATAGATTTTACCGAGCTTCTGGTCAGGTCATAAGTTTTGAGATGTCTTCCCCAAATGTTTCAAATAGTCTAGTTTAAGAGATTAATAGTATTTGTGGATCTCCTTTGACTTCAAACCTTGGGAAATATCTAGGGGTCCCATTAATTCAAAGATTACTAAGGCTACAATTTAAATGTTTTTTCAAGGCAAGCCCCAGGAAAGTATTAGTTGGATGCTAACTCCATCTCGGCCGACATCCTGCACTCGAGGAGGTGGGGTCCTAGAGCGAACTACTCATTGGTGTGCTTACTCTCCCAATTCAGAAAGACGGATATCACCGGTTGGGCTGGTCCAACCAAGAAAGGCATGGGGCATTGCTTGTTCTGTTAGGAGTGGTCTACCTTTTTCTTATTTTACTTCATGGTTCCCTCGATAGCTAGAAGTTCTCCAAAAGTATGAAAAGCTTGAGGACTTTGTACCATCCATTCGAGTGTGGTTGAATTTTGTTCAAGAGCCCAAGGACTTGGAGCACATCTTTTGTTATTTCCATTGCTTGAAGTGATTGTAATGATCAAGAAGAAACGATGAATCCCAACTATAAATATATAAGAACCAAAACTGCTAATGGCATTCGGTAAAATTCTTCCTATTGAATGGGAGCTATTAGATTTGTATTTGTTGAAATTTCCTTACCAAGACCCCGAATGGGTTAACTTTTTGAACACCATGCAGCTCAGTAGTCCACCTGCTGAGTTGGATTCCGATTTCCAGTCGTTTATGCTGCTAGAATTCTCCATATCTGCCCAGGAAATTGTGATTCTCTGTTCAAAACCTTTTTTTTCTTCTTACATTCTACATTTATAAATAAAAAAAATAAAAAAAATAAAAAAAGCCCATGTGTTTGATGGCAGGCCCAATGATATGCACCATCAGATAAGAATAGTCTTAGACACTAGAAGCAGGGAGTAAACAAAACCAAGTGGGTAAGACCAAGTTGTGTAGCGGGAAAAAAGGGAAAAAGAAAAGGCTCAAACTGCGTCAGAAGACGACGTCGCTTTACCTCCTAGGAATTTCGGAAAGTCTGGGACTTTGTTTGAATTTGAAGCCACGAACAAGATTTGTAATTGTGCCTAGTTCCCTTCAACAGAAGGTCAAGACGGTGCGTTTCAAGCCCTGAAACTCACCTGATGAGTTTCAGCGCAAACCCCCAGAACGACTCAAATCGCATGCAGGGAACTCACCACTCCAAGTGAGTAACAGTTTCGCAGTCAAATGTTGGAACTTTGTTTGATATGTTTGTATGAGTAGAAAATAAGGGAAAAGCTTTTCTTTTATGATAAAGGGAAAAATATTTTTCTTTTGTGGTTGTTTTTCATCATATTCTTTGATTAGTCGAGATTTTCATTTTATTATTTGTTTTTTAAAATTTGACAATTTGTCATGCTTCAAACATATCCAAATGGACAAGTCAGGAGTGGGTTTGCAGGAGTTAGTTTTTGGGATTTAGCAAAGGTGGTTTTTGGGATTTATCAAAGGTGTTTGATATTAAGTCAGTGAAAAAGAAAATAAAGTTTCAGGCAGAGGCTTCCCTGCAGCAAGAAAGTTCCTTTATTTTTCATTGTGATCATTCAAGATCACCACGAATGATAACCTTCACCAGTCGGGCGGGTGCATATATACAATGTTCATTGGCATAGTATGGCTTTTCTAATCAGCCAATTTAGTAGTTTTCTTTTAGAAAATGTGTATACAATGTTCATTGGCATAGTATGGCTTTTCTAATCAGCCAGCTAAGTAGTTTTCTTGTATGTCTTTATTCAATTCGTTATATGAGATCACTACAACAAAATGTTTCTTTAGCGATGATTTGTCAATGAGGCATTTTAAACCTATAGCGACAAACAATATATAATCCTCGCACTAGAAGCATTTTAAAGAGGAATTAATTTCCTCGCACTAGAAGCATTTTAAAGAGGAATTAATTTCTTCGCAGTACATCTTTCAAATTTTTTCACCATTTATTAACGAGGAAATAGTTTTTTACTCACTGAAAGTGTAGCGAGAATTTTTTACAATTCCCTCCAAATCTGTAGAGACCAACATATACAATCTTTGTAATAGAAGCCATTAGTTAGGAATTAATTGCCTCACAATATGTCTCCACATTATTTTCACAATTTCTTAAGGAGGAAATAGTTTTTTCCTCATTGAAAGTGTTAGCGGGAATTTTTTACATTTCCCTCCTAACCTATAGCGACAAACAATATATAATCCTTTCAATTGAAGCTTTTTAACGAGGAATTAATTTCCTTGTAGTTTGTCTCCCACATTATTTTTCACTTTTTAAAAAGTACCACAATTTTTGGGCAAAATTAAAATAGGATTGTTAGAAAAAAAAAATATTTAAATTTTGTTATTTCTTCATTTATTTTAATTCAAAATTAGATTTTTAGAGCTTTACGGTGAAAATATGTCACAATGAGTTTATAGGATTTTATCTTGTATTTTTCTTATTTTTAATTTATTTATTGTGGATTTTAGAAGTTAAATCATGGGGACATAATATGAAATAGATGAGATTGACACATGTCAGCCTCTTAAGGCATCTCCTTCAGAAATTTGGCCCTATCAGGTTATGACACATGTCCCTGTCTTATTATTTTTTGTTTGATCTTAAACCATCCATAAAAATTAAATAAAAATCACAAAAATACACTGAAAATTGCCACAAACTCCTTATGAAATAGTCACCCATTATGTAGATTTAAAATCATAATTCCATATATTTTAATTAATGGGAGATCATTGAATCAAAGAAACAATAGTGTATTGAGTAGAATGTTTTGATTTGTCTATGAAGAAAGTGTAGGGGTCTTTTATTCCAGCAGCTTGACGAATGAGCTTGGGCTGCCGAAAAGAGAAACATGCATGAAATTGCCCTTGAGTCTGAGTTCAAGGATCAGGCCCCAAGAGTGTTTCGAAAGAGTAGTGAGCCTTAAGGAACACATTGGTCTTCTTCACCAACAAAACCAACAATTGCTTACAGATAAATGCTGGGCTTGGCATGAGAGCTGTGGCATGGAAGCTGAGTATTCGGAGTTTAGCATGAGAGAGAGAAGGTTTGGGTTTTCCTATGAGGAACAGAGGCTTTGAGAGTGATGAAGCTTGCTCTCTAAATCTGTGTTGTGGAAAGAGAGTAGAAGATGAAAGCATGGATGGCTTTAGCATATTTCCAGCAACTTGACGAAAGCTTCGTCAAGCTCATGGGCGATTTGACAGATGAGAAAAATGGAAGCAATGGAAGAACATGGCTTGAAATCGAAGGGTTCCAGAGATGAGAGATGATGCTTGCTCTCTCTGGATGTGGGTTTTGAGAGAGAGAAAGAGGAATGGAAGAACAAAGCATGAATTGAAGGATTCCAGAGTGGATGCTTGCCTTCGATTCGTTTCTTGTCTGTTCTGTCCATTTTGAGTTGTTTTGCTGGGAAGAAAGTGTCTCCTTTTATAGGGGCTAGAAGACTCAA